GAATTGTATGATGTTAATTGCTATAGAACACTGTCATCACTACTATGGTTGCTATATGCTTTATCAATGGTATTACAGTAAGAGTCACCCAGATTAACGAAGAATGAACTTTGATAGAACTGAACAAGAGCATCAGTGATGGAACCAGAACTAGCTTCAGCACGCAACACTCCAACACCACACACCACCTCTCCTGCCCTGAAGGACTGCTATGACAGATGGAGCCCAAAGTCATGGACTAAATGAACCCAACAGACAGTTTAGAGGGATGGTCCATAGACTAAGGGAATTATATCTGTGTGTATATATCAAAAGATGGGGAATGTGGTTGCGATTAATTGGAATGCATTGGAAAGGGTAGGACCTGGGCATGACATAGATGGTATAGAATAAGGGGTGGATACTGTCCTGGTTTTGGCTGGGATAGAGTTAATTTTCTTACTAGTGGCTGGCATAGTGCTGTGTTTTGGATTTAGTACCAGAAGAATGTTGGTAACACCCTGATGGCTTAGTTGTTGCTGAGCAGTGTTTACACTGGTCAAGGATTTTCAGCTTCCCCTGCTCTGCTAGGTGCACAAGAAGCTGGGAGGGGGCACAGCCAGGACAGCTGAGCCCAGCTGATCAAAGGGGTATTCCAGACCATATGGTGTCGTGCTCAGTATATAAAGCTGGGGGGAGCTGGCAGTGACTGCTGCTCAAGGACAGGCTGGGCATCAGTGGGTGGTGAGCAATTGCATTGTGCATCACTTGTTTTGGGTGTTTTTTTTTTTTTCTTCCTTTGCTGTCCTATTAAACTGCCTTTATCTCAACCTACAGGTTTTACTTTTTTTTTCCCCAATTCTCTCCGCCATCCCACTGCAGCCAGGGGTAGTGAGCGAGTGGCTGTGTGGTGCTTAGCTGCTGACTGGTGTTAAACCACGATAGGTATTTCTGCCATAGCGAGCTGCCCAGCAAAGTAAGTGCACACATCATTCAATGGTGAAGGCTGCAAAAAATGCAATGTTATATTCTAGGTAAAGGAGTCATCTTTTAATACATTTATTGGTCCATTCCATTAAATTAATTGAGGTAAACAAACGGTGCATTTTAAAAAAATGTACACACTAATAGAGAATTACAAACAGTTTTACCTCAAAGTGTTTTTCTCCATCAATACTAGTTCCATAGTAAACAATGCACAAAGTATATTTATACAGAGATATATGAAAGGGTATAGAAACATGCCAGCACCAGAAGGCAAGACAACATTTCATAGCCTGCAAGTCTGAACAAGAGCACAGTTGCCAGATTTGGTCGAGTGCAGGAAACAAAAGCCTCATTCCCATTTCTACATCATTTACTAGCTCATTCACAGACACAAGTCTTTTCACAGCTTTTATTTTAGTTTTTAATGATATGAATGGTGACTCTAGTTCCAGTGACTGGGTTTACAGAGGTTGAAGGCGGTAGAGTCTGGGCAATGAGCCAGCACCATTTTGGTCCCCAGTACTGACACCATCAACGAGTAGGGGGATGAGATCCACCTCCGCTCACAGCCAGCTTGCCTTCGCCGGCATGGCCCAACTCTCCAAACCTTATGGAGGGACAGAGGGATGCAGGCACAGAGGAACGAGAACACGGATGGTGCTGCTTTATTTTCATGTACTAAAGACAAAAGCCCTTTGGCTGTTTCCTATTGTAAGACTGTCCCTCGGCAATCTGTCTCCCTGTGCAGTGGGAATGTGGCATTGGCCCCAGTCCTGCTGCTTGACATGAAGGTATGGATATATATCCCAGCAGCAGATTTACGGAAATGGTTTCGCTTCAAAGCATAGAGTGCCAAGGCCTTCAAAGTAGTCTAGAACAGTGACTAGCCTTTAACATTTTAGCATGCCACTTACATAAGGGTGATCTACTTATGCCTTTTTAGAAAGTGCATTATTTTCTGCACAAGTACTGTGCCTTGGCCATGCAACCTTAAGGCTAGCCCAGTTCATTACTGAGTACTTGTACAAGTCAGATACCCTGGCAAGACTTCAAAGTGCTAAGCATAGAATTAAGCATTGCCATTTTACTCTGTAAAATTGGTTAAACAGCACTCCCAAAAAGTTTAAAATGCAACATTCACACTGCCAGAAGGCAAGTTTATTCCTATGATCCCCAGTTTTACTTTACAAAAAAAGAAAGAAAAAAAAAAAAAAATCTGGCAAGTAGTAGCAAGTTCCCTACCTTAAAAAAAGACCCCATTTTCCCTGTTTATTGGTTGTTGTAGTAAAAGTTAATATACCAAGGGAAAGACTGTTCTACCTTCAGAATAAGAAGGCTGAACATCTAATGAGCTAGTTTAGTCTATGCAATTTTGCTCAGTGGTTATCAGCACCAGGATTTTAAACAGTCTGCAAGATTAATCATACTCGGTTAAATTGTGCAAGTTTTAACAAAAGCATGGCTCCTGTTAAAACACTGAACAGTCCCTGGTGGGCTGGAAGGGAATTCTTTTGCACCTTGGCATCTGCAGGACCAACACGTGAAGCAACATGCATCTTGAACAGGCTATTCAGAGCCACGGCTGCAAGGCTACCTCAGGGTACCTCTCCAGGACCGTCTCTGCCACTTCTGCTTTGCAGATGTTTCTTCCTACCACTTCTCCTATTACTCTATCCTTAGCACAAGTGTCAGTGTGACAAAAATCCAAGCAGACTTCAGTGAAGAATCCATAGTTTATTCTTTGATACAACTCACACGAGAAGGGTTTGTGTCTTTAGGGCTACACGTATTACCTTTTCATTTTTCAATGGATACCTGAAAAAGCCGTGATGTTTCAACATCTATGTTTATTGCAAGAGTCAGAACCTGGTAAGGATACATATGAACAATGCACACTTCATTACCAAGCGTGAAAACAAGATCTCAGTGCTTGCTTTGTTGTGCTGGTGCCAGTTAAGAGAAGAAACAAACATCCTAGAAATTACAAAGAAGTAACCAGGACAGCAGTGAATTATGCATCCTCTGAGAGGGAACTTGGTCTGGGCTGTTGTGTGACCCATACATAGGCCTATAGAAAGGGTGCAAATACTTTTGACATCATTTTAGTGCATGTGCAGCGGGTGACCTGAAGTGACTGAACACTCAAGAAGTTACTCAAAGATGAAGCTCCTGCACTAGTGCTTCCCTTTACCAATACCTTTCACTTTCCATGCTTAAGGTCCAGGCCATCCAAAGGAGACTCCTATCCTGTAAGAGTTTCACTAACAGTTCACTAACAGCAGTTACTAACAGCAGTTAAATAAGTGTCTTATCTACAAGTGTCACTTTACAACTTACAGGAATTTCCTGATATTTTGTAGTTCTCCTCACACTCAGGAACCTCCCCACACCTCACAGCCTCTCCCACAATTACCTAGAGCATAGGAGCTGAGAGACCCTCCGCTACACAACCTTCTTACACTGCAGCAATTCTTGCAGAGGGCTCCTCTTTTGAATTTTAAGTTTTGCTTTCCTTGTAGGGGCTTAAAAGGTTTTGGTTTTCCAGATCGTGTAAGAAATCCTATTGATGGCCACAGCCCAAGGTGCATGTTCCAACCTCTCCTCCAAATCAACCTGCAGAGGTGCCACAGAGCCACATACGCCAACAGAGAAGTGCAAAGCATGCTGGCCTTTCAGCTTAGACAGAAAGGGACTTATCTGAAATCAAAACACGCTTCGGTTGAGGACTAGTTTAAAAACTATGCTGCAGAATCAGTGGCATCAGATTAAGGAAAATATAAGCTGATATTCAACAGCTCCAGCCTCAACAGTTGCATGTTGATTTGAACTTCACCTGGTAGTCCCCACTGTCCATTATGCTTCTCATTAACAGCTGTGATGTCAACTGCTAAATTCCCCAGAACCAACTACCCACTTCAATTTGACATAAAACTACGAGGGAACAGGACCTCAGTGTTGTAAGGCATCAGACAAAACCTACTCACCTGTAGGAAAACCACCATCATCCTTTCTACTCATCTTGCACTCTTTTTTGATAAGGTGAAGGGAAGACTGTGCAAATATTAGTTCAAATTACATTTCGCTTGACTCCCAGTGATGTTGCAGAGTCTGCTGCAAAATTCCACTTCCCACACAGGAACCACCTCAAAAAAGCATCTTGATCTCTGTTTGTGGGAAATAGGGAAGACTGTAACCCTGAAGGTCAGACTGTCAAATGTTATGCAATTGCATATTTTGGAGGGGAAGGACTGAGGAAAACACTTGGTTACTGCTGCAAGATGATCCCCTTAAGCACTTCCCATGTACAACAAGAGTAGTTTGTCCTTCCAGACCTAATAGCAACTTAAAGCAGAGTTCTCATTTGTACCAAGTAAGTGTATATTGTTAAACTGGGGGCTTAAACCAAGAAGCATAGTTTGTTTGGTACCACAGAGCTGTCAATGGAGGCAGAGTCAAAAGAAAAGACCTCATAAACTAGACTTTTGCATCCAGAGGGCATCATTTCATTAGCCTGACAGGTACCACATTGCTACAGTAACTGTAATGCCACCAAGTTGAGTGGGGCGACTTCAGGTATACTTGGTGTTTATGAAGGGAAACAGTCCAAAACAGACTGGTACCTGGTAGGCCATCACAGGAGAACACAGAAGTTGCACATACTCAGTTAGTGCTCAGATTCTTCACAAGATCTGTTGCCAGAGATCAAGTAATCACTCACTTTTAGCAGTAATTGCTCAGAGTTATTTATTCCCCCAAAGCCCAGTATTACACTGGTATTAGCCCCAAACCCTCTCACTTTGGACGGTTAAAAAAGATTTATCTGCATGCTGTTAAACCAAGACTATGGGACCCTGGGAATCGTGGCAGCATTCCTAAGGCCATTAACACCAAGTAGGCATTTACTTGAGGTTGGACTGGAAGAGAAAGGGGGAAAAAAAGGGTCTTGCAGAAGCAGATACACTTCTAAAGACCAATAAAAACTACTAAGAAA